GCGACCACTCTCACCCGCAGGGTGGCCCGGCCTGGCCCCCAGGGCCCCCCAGCGCAGCCGGGAGCAGGTGCGCTGCAAAATCAAAGACCTGCGGCAGTCCTACTCCCGGGCCTGCCTGCCAGGGGCCGACCCGGAGCCCTGCCCCCACTTTCAGGCACTGGACCGCATCCTGGGGGCTCACGCTGTCCCTGCCCCCCGGGTGGTCATCGACCCCGGGGCAGAGGGACCCATCCTGGACACCTAGGAGGAGGAGCTGGAGGACACCAAGAGCCAGGAGCCTGCCCAGGACCCCCTAGGAACCCCTCAGACCACATCACCTGTGTCATCCGAGGCTGGGGAGGGCTCTACATGTGAGTACCATCATGCTCCCCTTATGTGTATGGGGGGGTGAAGAGAGAGGGAGCCCAGGGACCATGCGCCTGGGCCTTGCCCACCATGGAGCAGTAGCTGGGTGTCATGCTGAGGCCTTGGCCTTGCAGAGGGGGGCTGGGTTTCACCCACCTTGTCCCCAGGGAGAATTGACCGCTACTAGTGTTTAACCACAGCCGTAGCACCAGGGACTGCAGGGCACACCACCCCACCTGCAACAGCCACCCGCGCCCAGGCCAGCAGGCATGCCAGGAACCAGGAGGACTACCAGCGGCGGCACCTCCAGTTCATGGAGCAGCTGCTCCGCAACCAGGAGCACTGGGTCCGGGAGGACCTTCGGCTGCGCCAGCGGAGTATGGATGTGCTGGAGGAGCAGGGCCGTGGCCTCAGAGGCCACCTCCAGACCCTGGTGGGAGAGCCAGCCAGACCCCCAAGCCTGAGCTTTCCCTTCCCTTCCTCCCCTTCCACCCCCTTCCAGTTCCCTCCTCCCAGGTTTCTCCCTCCCCTCTCCCACCCTCACTCCTCCCTCCCCCCACCCCAGTTATGTAAAATAAAGAGAGTTTTTTTTTGCCAAAACAGGTACCTTTATTTGACATTAGGAAGGGAGGTTAGGGAGGGGAAAGGGGAAGGGGGGAGGGTGGAAGAAGGCCCCAGTGGGGCATGCAGGGAGAGTTCCGTCCCCCTCCTCCACATGGAAGCTCTCCCGCAGGGCTTCCTGGATCCGGACGGCCCCCCACTGGGCTTCCCAGTGTACGGCGGTGCGGGGCTGTGCGAACTGGCCAGCCATGTGGTCCGCCTCAGCCATCCAGGCTGGCAGGAAAGTCTCCCCGTTCCGTTCGCACAAATTGTGCAGCACACAACATGCTGCTACCACGGGAGGAATATTGTGCTCAGTGAGGTCAAGGCAGGTGAGGAGGCACCTAAATCGGGCTCTGTCGGCCAAAGGCCCCCTCGACCATGATGCGGGCCCTGGTGAGCCTGGCATTGAAGGCCTGCCGGGAGGGGTTGAGGTGCCCCGTGTACAGCTTCATCAGCCAGGGCTGTAGGGGGTAGGCCGCATCCCCCACCAGACAGACAGTTATGTCCATGTCCCTGGCCCTGATGT